GCAGGACAAAGGGCACCATAAGACTAGACGGCGTCCAAGCATTTTCGCAATTATTTGAAAAGTTAAGATTTCTGTATGGAAAAGCTCAGAATCTCTCAGTCTTAGAGGTTCAGCGGGACACGTGCTTTCAAAAAATCAACGAAAACGTCGATGACTTCATGACTCGNTTCTCACGAATACAGGATGAAATCATCGCAGTGATCAACTCACAAAACACAAGTTACACAAAAATCCTTATCCAAAAAGAAATTTACCAGCAAAAGGCAATTGAGGTTTTCCGGCAAAATGTAAAGACAGAAATTAGCGACCATCTTTATTCCTTCGACAACCTCGACACATTAAACTTGGCATTCGAGAAAGCTCGTATGTTCGAAGGAGAACTACAACTCAGAAAAATGAGGACGCAACGCAGTGAAAATTACAAGAGACCGGTGCTGCAAAAATCGCAGTTCCAAAGAAAAGAGTGCAGTTACTGCAGAAGATACGGACACGAGGAAAAAGAATGCAGAACCAAGCATATTTCACCAACAGCGGAACCAGCAAAGAAATTTTCGCGAACGACCAGACAGCAGTCAACCTCGGGGCCTACCATCGCGTCGTTCACTTGCAATCGAGCAGAACGAGACTCAATCAACCAGCAGAACGAGCTTCGACAGGGACCAGGCGGAACATACATCAGGGCACCACGAGTTGGATTGAGAATCCCGGGCTTCAAAAAGATAAGTTTCTTAATAGACACTGGCTCTGATTTATCATTGATACGCGAATCATACATAGAAAATAAAAATTTACCCAAGATAGATCCTATCGTAATAACCGGCGTAACTACGCATTCTGTAAAAACCAAATATGGAGTAAAAGTTAAAATGTTTAACGAAGAACATACATTTCATGTATTAGATGATAGTTCACCGGTTAAGTACGAAAGTATTCTAAGTATAGATTTCCTTACAAGGAATAATTTTGTATTTTCAAATAAAAATTTAATATTAAGAGGAAGAGAGTTTAAGCGTATTGACAAACCGTATAATAGTGCATGTAAAAATCGCGATGTCTTAGTAATTTTTCAAAATGACACTGGAGCAATTACGAAAATGGACGATCTCATTTAACAATTATTTCCAACACCTTCCCTTAATTGTTAAATCTAGACTAAAAAATTACAATATTCTTAGAACTAAACGTGTTAGTCATTGACTAAATTACTTTTGTGTATGTCGAATCTGTTTTGTCCTAAAGGTTTGGTAAAGATATCAGCTAATTGTGTGTCAGTAGAACAATACTTAAGATTCAATAAACCAGTAATTACTTTTTCATTTATGAATCTGTATCTAACATCTATATGTTTGCTTCTTTTATTACTTATTCTATTTTTTAGCATATAGTACTTTGATTGTCAATGTTAAGAGTAGCTTTGACTGTTTTGCCTATTAACTCTTCAAGTAAAAATTTAAGATATAGAATTTCTTTACAGCATTCAGTAGCTGCAACATATTCAGCTTCTGTACTAGATAAAGTAATTACTGGTTATTTCTTTGAACACTAGCTTATAGGACCGCCTGAATACATAATCACATAACCAGTTGTACTTTTACGAGTTTCAATATCTCCTGCATAATCTGAATCAACATAGCGAATTAATTCACCCCTACGTCTGTGTTATTATATTCGTAATAACTTATGCCTAAATTCTTTGTTGCATTAATGTATCTTAAGATTCTTTTTTCATTTGAAATATCTTGTAGAGTCGGTTCATTTAAATGTCTACTCGCATATCTTACTGCATAAGCTAGATCTGGTCTAGTTTTATTTGCTAAATAGAATATACTACCAACGCTTTCACGTTATGGAAAAGATTTGTGACTTCCTTTCTCGTGTCATTAGTCAACATGGGAGTTTTAACAGGTTTAGAATTTTTCATATTATACTTTTCGACTATTTTAATAGCATATTCTATCTGCTTTCATGTAAGACGACCTTGTTCGCGATTAATTTCTAAACCTAAGAAAGACTTTACACAGGTACAAGTAGTCATATGAAATTCCTTACCGAGGTCACTTAATAGTTTTTCTATAACCTTTTGATTTCGTCCTATCACTAATCCATCGTCCACGTAGATTGCCAAGATTAGAGAATAATCTTTTGTCTTAAAGATGCAAGGTTCTGCCTTTGTTGAACTCAGCCCTCTGCTTCTTAGAAACGTTGTGAAACGGTGAGTCAACACTCGTTTTAGGAAACGAGGAACTCACGTCACGCACAACAATGAAGCTGATTCTTGCGGCAATTACTCTCGTCTCGCGCTGTTCGCCGCGCCAGGTAACGAGCCAATTGTATTCTTATTCTCGCGGCGCTGTGATTGACAGCGGCCACGTGCAACACATCGGCTCGGGCCCTTCGTTGGCCGTAACCGGCCCGTTCTGCGTTAATTTTCACGCAGATGAGCTTACTTCGGCTCATCTCCTCCGCATCACAAGGCCAAGAACTCCAAAGGGAGCTCCGCTCCGGTTTTCGTGGAGTCGGAGTGCATCTCCCGTTTTTCTATTCCGTTGCCTACATCCTTGCCGAGCGTCTCGCACCTGTAACGTCCCTACGGCCCTGCGCCGTTGTCTGTCTCTATCGTCGCTTCTCTTTGCTCCACCTTGTCCGACATTACGCACCGTGAGCTGCTCTCTCTCTCTCTCTCTCTCTCTCTCTCTCTCTCTTAGCGTTGAAATAAACGACCAAGTAGCCGCCAAGCGGCTCGCACGGCACAAAAATACTGACGGAGACGCAATTAAACAATCAAAGATAGGCTGAAAAGAACATAAATAACAAATTAATATACATCTTAGTACGTCAATTATTCGTTCAATATAACATAGGCGCCCCGCGCCTTCGCAAAATTAAGCGCATTCGCCTGCGCTACGCGGCCTAACAAGCTGCTCTCCCTCAAATAATGGAAGACGCGAGCTCACCGCCTCTTGTGCCGGCCGAAATTATGTTCTTGTGACGGACACAAAAAGTATCACGTCACAATATACATATAGTTATGTCTATATATGTTATTTATATAATTATAATCCATTTTAACGTACCTAATTGCAATGTGCTATTCACATATGTTTTACTGCGATGCCAGATTTCCACAATGATTTTTCTGCAATGACTTAATCACAATATACCATCCACCTATACTGTGGTATATTGTGTAATATATCTGTCCTTTCTATGTGTTGCTTGTGACAAAATGTACTGTAACATAACACAACATACAGGAAATAAATGCATGCACCAAAACTGTCAATCAATACAATATAAGAATAGACAATATTTCATTAAAAGCTTGTCTAATCATAATGCGCTACATACACCTTAATGTATTATTTAATATATCTATCTTGTTGTGATAAATTGTTGCAACAAAAAAGTACAAAAAACAAGGTAACAAAATCAAATATACATCTTCATTTATTGTATAGAAATATTCAATAATTTTATTTAAAACTTACCTAATCCATAATGCGCTATCTATTTCCCAGTAAACAATATGTTCGCAATTTGCCGGCAAATTGTCAGCAATTTTAAGCAACAATACTCAGCAAATTGGCATCAACTGTGTCCGCATTAGACTTCGATTTTGTTGCCAAAGCTTGTCGACAAAAAGGAACAGCAAATTGCTAGCAAAAACCACAGCTTGATCCATATTGAAACATTAATATATGTCTTGCTGCCGTTATGACAAATTACTGCAACATAAAGAAGGTGTAATTATTTGTAATTATTTTGCACATCAAATATACACTTAAATTAAGATAACAAACAAGTTCAGCCAACAACTTTGAGGTTACGTTGCATTACAGTCTAATAATTATTAAGCCGTGACAATATTAAGTACGTGAGAACTTCATTAAAGATATTTATAAATATTAACACATTTTTTAGATTAACAGTAGTAATGTTTGAAATAAGTTTTATAATTATAATACGTTTTTGTAAATCCATCTCAAATTCTAGATATCTTCATAATGAGCAAAGTATGTACAGTAATATACATATATATTACGCAACAGTTTTAAAAATATTAGTAAATGATGTTTGTTTAACATAAAAAAAATAATATTTTATAAAATAAGAAGGATTACCTTGGATTCAAATGATAGAGTATACTAACTGTTGTGTTGTTTCATGCTATTACCATATTGCCCGTCGCCATATTGCTGAAAATGGATTAGAACTGTTCATAAAATATACATCACGAGTCTGTTCTTTTTCGCTGCACTTTCTACAGTAGTGTGTACTATACGTACCTTTTTCTGTTTATAAAATCTTCAAATTTTGTTCACTTAGGCCCGGTTTCACAATTGACGGTTAACTTGAATTAACGGAAGCCCAACTTGCTGAACTCGGTGTAACGCATCTTTTCTTCTTAAACATGAACTGTGATTGGTTAGCGAAGATTTGACAAAGAAGATTGAACGCGTTAAACCGAGCTCAGCAAGTCGAACTTCGGTTAATTCGAGTTAACCGCGGATTGTGAAACCGGGTCTTATAAATCATATGAATTCGAATTTCACGTGTAAAAATTTACATGTGAACACGTATATATGGATATATATACACGTATAATTTCCGCACAACACCTAGCGAATGGCTCCAATGACCGAATATATATTTATTAGTTCAAAAAATTATGTTGTCGACTGAAGAAGACCGAAAAACGATACTTCCGTGACGACGGTTACGTTGGAACTCTCCTAAAAGGAAAGCAGCCATGGTCATTGACTCGTGCACCTAGCACAGAATAGAACCGCACGCTGTGGACATAGCGCGGAATAGAACCACGTCCACATTTGGACATAGCTAACGCACGGACAAGTCGCTCATGGTTACGTAGTTGCCAATGTGCACCACCCACATGGACATAGCGCTGACTTACAGGGCGAAAAAAAGATGGGAACTTTGAATCTCAATGTTGGTAACGCGCAAAAGCGGTCCCTTCGTGCGTTGCGCGTGGTCACCGTCGCAGCACATCCGCGAGAGTTCGCACAGTTGTGCGCGCTGCGACAGATCATAGGGTTTGTGTGTATTGCGAAGTGCATGTCTTCTTGCTCCTCGTTGCGTGATTTCGCGTTCGTCGTGCTTTCGTGGCAGCGGGGTTTGCCGTTGGCGACGAGGAGACTGACACATGATACGTTGACACTCATACGGGGTCAACTCGGGGTGACGGATCTAGGAAGTAGAGAAAAGAGCGAGTGGTTGAAAGGGTGCGTGGTCGCAGTCGTGGTCGTTGTTGTGTGTATCAAACACGCGCACGGCCCAGCCTCTTCGTGTCTGCGTGCGTACATGCGCGTGTCTCTTTGCATTTTCACATACTAATATTCAGCAATAGCGCGAACTCGTAACCGGAATGACCAGCAACGAGGATACGCGCAGCCAGGCGATCAGCAACATCGAGACCGAGTACAACGAGATCAATTCTAAGAACGCCTGGCCGATTTTCTTTCAGGTGAGAAAAGAAACGAGAGATGAAGAACGAGGCAAATGAAGAAGGAGCGGGCGCATGAGAGAAGCGGTGTGTTCCGTTCTTCCGCTCGGTGACGGCTCTTCCGCTGCCATTTCCGCGAGCGGACGGAATCGCGCCGATTTCTTTACGACCAACGAGAGACGGAGATATTACAATGCTACTCCGATACCGTTGCGCGTCCGCATCCTCGTCGCGCATCTTCTCTTTTCGTTGTCGCAGCTTTTCTTCTTTCGAGATTTCTTACAACACTACATTTTATCGGATTCTCGTGTTCCGCATTATCGCTTTCCTGAAATCATCCGTTCCGCAGTCGCCGAGCAGAATGTGTTCGCGTGTTGTGCACTTACGCTCGCCAAGAATTCTTTGACACAGATTGCATACGTAAAAGTCAAATCATCGTCTGCAGTCGATATTTACAAAACTAGAATGAAGATTAAAGAGAACGTTTTAATCAACCGGCTCGAGAGAAAACTACTAGGAAGTATATATATAATATTTAGGCTGAAAAATTATGGTTGCTAAAAAACGTATTTATATTTTTTACCACAAAAAAATATTCAAACTTTAGATTCGCGATTTACCGTGCGATCGCACAGTGAAATTTCTCTCTTACGATTTACTTCTTTAATTTCGATACAATTGTTTTTTAATGCTTTGTATTCCACGTAATCTGTAATAAAATCAATAGACTGCGTAATATCTTCCGTGTAATAATAAACAATAGAGATGTGGCTTTGCAGTCTCTGATGTCGACACGCAAATTCGCCGAATGCGAAACGGCTTCCGTGTTATATTGCGATGATTCTATCGCGAGTTGTATATTGATTAGAAATTTTATTTAGCGAGTCGTTCATCTCGGAATCGATAGAGCAGAAAAAACCATGAATTTTTACATCCGATAGCATAGAATATTTATACTTGCATGTACTGTGACATTTGAACCAGAACACGCTAAATTACATTGTGTTACATCGTGTAAGATGTTTTTTTTTTTTTTTGGCGTAACAGCTCCGGGATCATATCGAATCGGCGCGTGCGCACTACTCTGCCGATATAGATATCAGTTTTTTTGAGTAAATATTATTTATTTCATAAATTACACTTGACAATGTAGACATTCAAATGCATCAAGACAGTTTTATGTTCTTTGTATTCGCTCCGTAGCTCTTTCTCTCAAGCGCAATATACATGTTACACGCTCGCAAGAAACATTTTACAACACATCAGTCATTTTACAAGTATTCTTGGATTTTTTATGTTGAGCAATGCGACACTATGTCTCAGTTGAAACACTTTGTAAAACAGAACGTTACGCTCTGTCATCCGTTGCGTTGTTGAAAAATAGTCTGTTTTCTGTACACAGTATTGTGTCTATCGCAAGGTCAGGTCTCTCTCATCTTGCAAATATATGGTTTCAGTATATTCAATGATTGTGCAAGGTTTCCTAGAAGAAGTGTTATAATTATTTAACGAATCATTGACAATTGTAACATATTCACTTGCAAATAGCGAAAGTTACTTTGTGTGTTTATATCAAAGCAATTTATATATCAAAGATCATAAAATATTATTATTATAAATATGATGTCTGGTTTGCTATTTTGCAGCATATACGTGTTGATAGTAGTAATGAATACTCATGTATCGAATCAAAAAAGCCACAGAACAAAAATCTGAATCGCTATAGGGATGTAGTACCGTACGATCACAGTAGAATAATACTTAAAAGAGGCACATGTGACTATATACATGCCAATCTCATACAAGTAAGTATTGTAGCGTAAATAATTTGTGTAGAAATAATTTGTGCAATATGTAAACAGATAATAACGAGATATATAAATGCACCTGTCTGTATGTTAGGTGGAGAGTGCTAATAGGAAATATATTCTTACACAAGGACCGTTACCAACTACTGTTGGCCATTTTTGGTTAATGGTATGGGAACAAAATAGTAGAGCTGTGTTGATGTTAAACAAGGTGATAGAAAAGAATCAAATCAAATGTCATCAGTATTTTCCTCTGGATGAGAAATGGGGACCTATGATATTCGAGGAAGTCGGAATAAAAGTGGAATTTATCGTCAAGATACAATCTTTAGAATACACTTCTAGGTTGTTACGGTAAAGAAATATGTGTTATATTAGTGTAATATCGTCACAGTGTGTGCCTTGCTTTAAAATTCCAAATTGTTTGTCAACATTGTGTTGTGTGACACATTTTCTAATGTTTTTTTGTTTTGTTTCAATCTAATCTATAGTATAACAGACATGGAAAGCAATCAAAGTAGAGAAGTCATACATTTTCATTACACAACTTGGCCTGACTTTGGAGTACCACAATGTCCAACATCGTTTTTACGTTTCTTGAGAGACGTCAGATGCACAGGAGCATTGGATCAAAGTGTTGGCCCACCCATCGTTCACTGTTCTGCGGGAATAGGAAGATCAGGAACATTTTGTTTAGTTGATTCATGTTTACTACTGGTATGTGGGATTCGGTAAAGTGCTCTTTAGTTTACAAACAACTGTTCTGAAAATCATTTAATTTATTTATTATTTGATTGCACACACAGATCGAGAAACAGGGATTAAATTCTGTAAATGTGCGGGAGATATTGCTAGAGATGAGACAGTTTCGTATGGGTTTGATACAGACTCCGGAACAACTACGTTTCTCTTATGCTGCCATTATTGAAGGAGCAAAACAGTTAGCAGTTAACAACACGGTACTTAAAAATCACAGTATTATTAATTTTATTATGCTAACAAATTTATTAATTTAGTTAATGCTAATAAATAAATTTATTTTACAGATTGTCAACAGTAAGGAACCGATAGATAATGATGATAATGATGATAATGATGATGAGTATGATGAAATGAACAACAGAAAAGATTTGATAGATGACGAACCTCCTCCTTTACCACCTCCAAGAGGAGCATCGTTAACGCGTAGCATGATGTCAGATTTAAGCTCAGACTCGTCATCCAGTGAAAATGGTATTTGTATTGTTCTTGATATAAAAAACTTTCTTATTAATACACAGACAAAAAAACAATAAATTTTTAATTACAGATGACGTAGGTGCACCGCCTGATAAACCACTACCGAGCGAACCACCAAATCACACGGATGTATCTGCAGATTTGAAATCCACGTCCATTACAAATAATACATATGAACAGAACGCCAACGTCACGACCTCTTCTAACGAAGATGCCGAGATATCTCTTCAGACGAACAATTCCAATTCTGAGGATAAGTAAGCACCGTCTTTCTTAATAAGTAAATTTTTTAAAATATTGATTATCATAATAATATAAATTTTGTTTCTTGTTGAAACAGAAAATCGGAACTACGTCAACGTTGTCGGGAGAGAAACAACCGAATAGCGGAGCAAGTGCGCGAGATGAAACGCCGGCAAAAGGAGACGGAAGAGTGGCAAAAGCTCAAGAGGTCATTATTTAAACCTCTTACAATAAGCTTAGGCATCGGAATTGGTGGGGGTCTCATAGCGCTGTGCTATTATCTGTACATGCGTAGTTAGATCCACTGTATCGCAAGATATCGTACGTACGTACACGCGAGTTCTCGAATTGTCACATTTAGACTTGCATCAAAGAAAGTTGCTCTTAACAAGAATTTTAAGAATAACGTTTAACGTTTACAGATAACCATGCTAGGTTTTAACCACTTGATTTTAAGTTAAAAATTTTCACATTTTTTAACGGAGTAACGGAAAAACTTGCGTTTTTTTGTACAATATAACCCAGTACCGGAACACGTATCATACAGACGCAACATTAGCGATATCGAAAAATGTATAACAATTCTACTATTACCAAAAGAGAGAAACACGAGAAAGAAAGAGACGAAAGATAGAAAACAACGGGAAAAAAAAATTTATTACTAAGAGATTACCAGGATTGAATACGTTGCTATACGTTCAAACAGTAAACAATAGAAAAATCGGAAATCCAAAAAAGCGAAAAAAATAAATTTTCGATTTGTATTTTTATATTGTGATTTACTCGGTAAGAGTGCTTAGAATATACTAAAAACGTGTGCGTTCTTATACAATTTCTTTATTACTCTCTTGAAATGTTTAATATTAAATATTAAATGAAACAAAGTAATAACTCGGTCGATATACGGTGCTTGTGAAAACGTTATAATGAAGGAATAAGAAGCGTAGGAAAATCGCGTTAGATTTCCATATGATTTTGTACAATATATGCATATTATATGTCCCAGCATTATTAGTCCCACAATACAAATATCATTAAACAAGTAGATAAGGAACTCCCAATTCGATCTTATTTGTACATTATAGCGAAAATTTTATGAGCTCGTATACCGATGTAACATAAACACATAGAATGAGAGTGAATGTGTAAAGCTAAAAACATAATGAAGAGTCAATTTCAGTGCTATATTCTCGTATAAAGATACAAAAAGACTTGGAGTTTGTGTCAGTTTTCTCAAATAGGTGATAAATGCACATTTCTACGTGACATATAATCTTTTCCTTATTGTTCAGTTAATCGGTAAATAAGAACAGATTTATACATATACATATATATATATATATATATATAATATATATATATAAATAACAACACACACATGTATATCTTTCTGCTGTTTTCGACAAATATTTCTAATTCAATTTGATGTACTGTTAGTAATAGGTCAGGGTATCAAACTCGCATTAGATTTGACAAACTAGAGTTTATTTTCAAAATGACCCTTTGAGTTCGTGTTGTCTTTGAAGCGGTGGAAGTGAATCGCGACGATGTGTGAATCCATTACTTCCAAAATATGCGTTCAACGGAGGTTTGGGAAATGGACTTCATAATTTTCTTAGTAGTGTTAAATAGATATACTCGTGATAGGCCTAGAAGTAAATTGTTAACAAATTTTATTCTAGTTCCGTAGTTAAATGTTTTTTTTAATTACTCTTGCCGATAGATTTTAACTCTGATCTATATATCAAAAATATTCATTAAAGAATCTAGATTTATACATAGCGCATATATTATAAACATGTGACATATTACATACTGTGTTTCGAAGATGTTTTTCACTTATTATGATAATCGCACTTCGTGGTTTTATTATTTGGCTATGAGTAAGATATTACTGTTTTNTTTTNTTTTTTTTTTTTTTTTTTTATTTGCGAATTTTTATATTTTTCGCTTTTATTATAATGAATTACATTTATATTTTGCAAAAATTCTTTGTAACGTTGTATGTTTGATGCAGCTAATGATAAACACGTACGAAAGCTTGCTTTATGGTATCTATACTGCTAATTAATGTAATAGATTGTTGTACTGATCACTTCTCAACAGACCATTCCTAGTGGATGTTAGCTTCTTTTGTGCTCTTTGATACTATTTTACTATTCACACAAAACACTTCGAAAGTTCAGTAATTACAGTTACATTATAATCGTAAAGAAGAAAGAAAGAAAGAAAAAAAGAGAGGGGAAAGAGAAGAAAAGAAGTTAAAATAAAATCTTAGAAAACTGTGAATTCCAGCTTATCGTCCAATAACGTGCGGCGCGTGCTGTACGTTTGGACGTTGGATTAAGACTGAGTATATCTAATAACTTCTAAGAGGAGAAAAAGAAGGAAATAAAAAATGATGAGCAAAGAAAAAAAAACAAATAACGAGAGTTAAGCCCGCGTATTCATAAGTCGAGCTTTTATATAAGTCATTTTGAGAGAAAGACTTCTCAGATCGTGTTCCAATCCAAAGATAAGGTATGAAAAAAAAAAAAACAAAACAAAAAAAAAAAAATGCAACCGGTATGTCGCGACGTCCCAAACAGATGCGCATCATCGAAACGTAATTTTTACTTTTGTACATTATTGTCGTTGAAGCACGATCTCTCCCAAAAAACAAGATTTTCGGACATGCCGAACTTGCGTTATATTGACGTGCTCGTCTTCGCGTGATCATGTACGTAGAACCGGTACTGCCGCACGAACTAAAAAATAACGAACAAAAGAGAGAACGCGAGCGAGCGAGAGTACTCTACGTGGAACACGATATCGAATTTGTAAGGGGACATGCAGTATTCTATTGTCTTACAACACGTTTTTAACATTTAACCACTAATATATATATATATATATATATATATATATAATATACATATATACATATATATATATATATATTATTGTTATCTAAGTTTTTTATTAAGATTATTATTTATATGAGTGTATATATATACTATATAATAAATAAATAAATATATATATATATATATATATATACACACTACAATATCTGCGATGATTCGATCGAAGAGAAGCAAATGCGACTGAATGTCGTGATCGTTATCGTGTATCGAGGACAACACGAAACGTAGCGTACACGGCAACGTACACGTCATCATCAAACTGTTCTATACGTTTTCAAATTAAATCGAAATAAATATCAATTTCGAGGATGGCACGTTCGCACGGTTCCGAAATTCGCTGTTTATCTACCGTCGTTTTTTACAGACGAGGAACAAAAAAAAGTGTCGAGATAAAGAATTATAGTCGCTCATCTCCCCTGTTGTTGGCGATCGCGCGAAGCTTCCAGAAATGAGATACGCTCATGAAACTCTTTACAGGTCACGAAGACACGGTGCTAATTAAAAGTTCCAAAAAAAAAAAAAAAAAAAAAAAAAAAAAAAAAAAAAAAAAAAACAAATTTGTGCGCTCCGACGTGCGTGCATACGTGTGCGTGAATAATACGACGTGAATGTGTGAGAATGAATGTGAAAGAGGAACGTAAATAGAACCAATTGCCGATGATGGTCGTATAATTCGATAAAAAAAAAACAAAAACAAAAAAAAACACGGATTATCATTCTCTGTATAAAACTTGCTTTTTGCCAGCATTTGAACAATTTTGATTGTAAGTTTTTCATGCTGTTTCAAGAAAGACTGTTTTTCTGCCGATTAGAAATAAATCGAACTTTTCGTAAGTTTTTAAAAAGCGAATTCTGCAGCCATCATCGGACAAAGCACGATAAGAGCAGATCCGGCGACACATCATTTTATATATTACGTGTGTACAATAGACATAAATGTTATAAACAAACAAAAAACACAGAGAAATAGCTAAGTGCCTATTCGTACAAACAAGGGGAAGGAGGTGAAAACTACAGCGATCTGTGAATAGCGTTATACTTATAGCAACCTCTCCCCTTTTTGGAAGAACATAGTCACCGTGGAAGCGAGCCGTTCTTATTATCTGACAATATATATATAAGTAGATAATTTATATATCTAGTAAATCTCGATTGATTTACTTCGAAATGGTACTTTCTAAGGTGCTCTTTCATCATGTATTTTACATTGTTAAAAAATCACATTTTTGTGTGCATATCTTAATTTAATCTTAACAAAATATTACTTTTTTGTAATAGTGTTACGGATATAATATAAATAGTATATAGTTGTTTTTAAATTAAGAACTTATTTTGAAGCGCAATTGTGAACTTAGCGAAACAATTTTCTAGTGTAGTGTGCATTATCTTAAAGTTAATAGATTTTCATGTCACGTTACCTTATTGTAAACTGTAATAATGTTTTCTCGAAGCATATCGCGAAAGTCCGTTTCGAATTAATCAATTTATCGTAATCTCCGAGTTGCCGAGCGATCATGCATCAGGGTAACGATGTAATATGAGCAATCTCGAGTTTATTTCAGACAAACAATCGGATTTTGTGATTAATCTACAAGAGCGCGCGATTTTGATCTAATAAAACGTGGTGATTGTTGAACTGACGTTTGTATAGAGACTGCTATCTCCAATTCAAAGCAATATATGTAGATCGTGGCAATATATCAAATGATTAAATCCGATTCCGATACGCTTGGCAACCGGATTTACTAATAGTAAGTAATTGAAATATATGCATTAGGCAGAATGTAAGAATGGTTGAGCGGGGAAAATCAGCGATCTTTAATTCTTGAAGCGCGCCAGCTAGAACATGCACTTTGTGACTGATTTGTTTTTTTTTTTTTTGTTTTTTTTTACTAAGTCCTCCAAGTACTCGTGTATCCGAGCATCCGAGATCGATTTCTATCCGAAGATCCACATTCGCGTCGTTTAAAATATTCAATTAATTTGTGTATCGTTAGAAACGAAGTAAAAAAATTACAAAAAAGTTAGCAAATTCACGTTTTTTTTTTTGTCATTTTTACTTCGCGTTCCAAGAAGAAATACGTAATCGATCTCCAAGTCCGGATCCGATTTAATGCGGATCTAATTACAATTCTGATAAAATCGTGTAGATCTGATTCGACATTCTATATTTCATTCGGATACTCAGAAATGTGTCAGATTCGAAACAAATCTTGGAGCCCTAATTTTTAGTCTACACAGTGCATCTTACGACGGGGCCTTTTTACAGTTACTGATGATTACAAAACACAATTGTCGAAAAGACACTTACCTCAAGATAACAAAACTAGATTGATCGTGTATGTGAAGTTGTTCTTCGAAGAATTAAGATATAAAACTACGTGAGATAATAGAGACAATTGTACACACTTATCTGATTAATCGACTCAGCTGAAATTAATTCATAAATTATAAACTGTATTAATTTAATTATTATACATAATATCTTATTGAGACAATTATGAGTTGCTGTTTTTCGCGTATTTTTCAGAAATTATATGTCGATAAATTTATTTCAAAACATCTATTAAATTTTATTAACTTGTATATATATATATATATATATGTATATGTATATACATATATATGTATCATTGTTTTCATACTTGTATACAAAAGTCAAAAATATTTCCAAGTTCTTTAAGAAAACGATCGTCGATTAATCGCATTGTATCTGGGGGAATATTTTCCCTAACCCATTCTCTACATTTTGCAACTCGACTTGTAGTTACATTTACGACGTATCGTTGTAGAATTATAGAATCGAATGTATTTTATTGTATAGAAAAAACCAGGTATATAGTGAAAGAAAGAAAAGTGTGTGCGACAGAAAAGAATCGGAGGAAACACAGCGCATAACGAGAAACTTACTTAATTATGCAATGACAGTTTATTTATATGGAGGAATAATGGAACAACAAAGATCAGATTACCTCTTGCGAATTACAAACATCGGACCGATCCGTCGAAAATGATCCTCTATCGCGTGAATTCTCAATTAAAAGATTGTACTCGATATTTTATACGGTCAGAAATAGCATTGCGAGAGCGGAGGATCTCTTTCACATATTGTAGATTTTATACTCTGATTTCGGTTGCGCGAGCCGGAAACGTGATTATTACATTCTATGAATTTATTTTCGCAAAATATATTTCTGCGGAGACAGTTTCGGATTCATGTACTATGGATGCAGGTAATACAGATGTTTTTTTACGAATCACCAACGCAAGTCTGTAGTCGATCTCCCAGACAATCATGAAAAGTCACTTCGAAGTAATTCACCCGACATACTCTCATTTATAATCCTACGTAGAAAGAGATAGTTTATTTGATTCGAGTTAGAGAAAGAGAGAGAAAAAGTGTAATGCGCGCTATATTATTAATTAGAAAAAGCGATTTTGTTTGTAATATTTTTCCGATTTTAGATCTCCTATAATATCAGATAATCTTATTGGAAAAATTCATTAGTCATATCAGAAGTATGTTGAAACGTTTGTTTATTTAATACGAAGAGACTCTTCAAGTTTCCCTTGTTGTGTGAGCAGTGTCGAAAATTTTGATGAGATTTCTGGTACGCATGTTATTTTCAATTATATTACAATGACTGTACTAGTATCAAGAATTAAATATCTTATTTGAATTTTATTTTCAGAAAGTCATCAAAAATGTAGAGTGATGACCAATGATAGTAGTACATCCATTGTTGATCAATTTTTCTTTATCTTGCAATTTTATCTACTTCTTTATCTTATAGATCGTTTATTTCGAAAAAAAAAAAAAAAAACAATCACATAAGTGAAACTACATCTGTTTTCGAAATAAACGCGACTTAAAATTCGTAGTTGTAATTCCATCCTCGAATCGAGAATCACATGTTCACGTCCACGAGCGATGCGACTTAGCAACTAAATTCTATTTTTATTGTTTGCCATTTCGTACTTAGCCTTCCACACTATCGAGGATCGGAGAGATCCCTTACCTGATGATTTCTTTCAGATCGAAAAGCGATACCAACGAAAGTGACGAATCTGTGCACGAGGAGACCGAGACCACAATCTAAATCATCGCCTTCCACACTAAATCCTCTGTTTTGTGCCTTGTAACGTTCTAAAGGGAACCACATTGCACCAACGGCAAAGATCTGTTTTCAGTGCTTGACAGAGAAATAAATCAGATTGTTTACTATACACAGAAATAACATAACGTAATACACGTGTATTTGCTTTCGAGTCCGAGAAACTCACGGACGAGAACAATTTCTTATGATTTTTTTTCCTTTCCCCTAAGTAGTCTTTTTTGTTTTCGTTGATCTTGCGGGCCAATGAGAAATATCGTCCAGTTTTGTTGCGAAACAAAAGAAATGACATCTCTGAAAGCGGAAGTCAGTTAACAAATTGTTTTTAATGTCACATATCCTGATAGGAAAACATTTACAAAATTATGTGACGAAATCTTGCACTAAAATTGTAATTTGCAATTATACAGATATATTTTAGGAAATAGGTGTAAAAACATTGATCTTTTATAAAAATATTTGTAGTTGTTTGGAAAATTACTTTTCAAATGCTATTTCGGCAAAAGAATAACGATATGGCGAATCATCTTAGCAGTATATTTGCAAAATTAATTTCAAAAAGAAATTGTCCAATAATCGAGAAAAAAATTTCAGCTACGTGATGTTTAAAATATGTAGAAATATAATTGCATATGAAGAAATCAACTTAATTCATGTATATACTTATGGCAATGCATAACGACTCTTTTGCAATTTTTGACAAATATTATTTACAAAATTTTATTTTGACAAAACTATTGCGTTACGGCGAATCATCTTAGTGCAATCATTGCAAAATCGTCGTCATTCATGATGCCATTTTTGTGCAATATTTTCACAATTTGTCTATTAAGTATAAAAATTGGACATATAAAAGAATGACGATTTGTGTATGAATTTATACATAAACCATTTATTAAAAATTTATACACGCGATTATAGAAGATTGTTCGCTGAGACTGAGTAAAATTAAACGCGAATGATTTTTTGTTATGTTATTTAAAGATTTAAGAACAAATTGCGTTTTCACTGTATGTCGGAAGTTTAAAATAACTTTTCAAATATTGAATTATTGTGCAACATTGAGAATAAGATCAAATTCTCACATGTCTAATGATGTAACAATGTATAACACTGCGTCGTTCTAAAGCGACTCTTTCTTACGTCATTTTTCACGTGAAGATCTAACGACAGTCGCGTATTAGATAATGAAATATTTCGCAATAAAATATTTTACAAGAATTATTTATATCTTGTACAAAATGTTAAAAATAAAATAGAATTTATATAAATTCCTATTTATTATCATAAGTTCTATTTTTTTATTAGTTTTTATTGTTTCCTGTCATTTTAGTTAAAAAGTATCGAACGTATGACACAATCAAAACCCCAAATCTTTTCAAGCATCAGTTGTTGTTCGATTAAATCGATATTATCACGTAAGTTTGGAAGTATTTCAAACTCGCGTGCGTGATCGAAATTATGAAGATTTTACACGTAAACATTTTACACGAATATATTGATGGGGGCCACATGATCGTTCCCTTGTAGCCAAATTAACACCTGCGCACAAAAACAAAAAAAAACGGTGTACTACACTCAAGATAGATCGCTGTATATCATGTCCGTTTACCAGGTCATTTATCACCCCGCGTAAAACGTCATTGTATAGTTAGCGTGCTCTGGTTTGACGTCATTGTTTCATATAAATACCGAATGCACACGAATTCCGGTCATCATAACTCCTGCGAAAGCTTGCGAGCATTTTGTATCCACTTCGAAGACGAGTAAAACGATCATCGACGCGGAAACGATCTTTTTTTGCCAAGGATCATCAATATTCCAAATTAAAAAAAAAATGGTAAGTTATTACATTTTGTTTTTCAAATTCGAGTCAACTCTATCAATAAGAGAATATTGTCATCTTCTGCTGTTTATAAAAAAGTTTCTTGAGAAATAACTCTTGTACCAATAATTAAAAATATTTTTCGACCGATGTTATAAAAACACAATCCTATTTTTTTCTAGATGGTTGCCAAGTTTGTTGTCTTCGCGCTGCTGTTCATCGCCTGCTCTTATGCATCACCTCTCAGAGTGGCGACTATGTATTCACCGCTGTTTGTGCCGGTTTTTATCCAAGATCTCGATGAATCTCAAGGCACACTAGACGAAGAACCGGTATACACGTTGAATGATGATCCCAAGATTATGGAAAATCCAGTAAACTCCGTCGATATTGAAAAACGCAGCATCGAGAAAACAATGACGGATAATGACGGTGACGACCTCGAGACCGCAGCTGGTACCAACGTTCTTCGTCCTCTCTTTGTTTATCGTCAGCAAGTCGCGTATCGACAGCGTGTCAAGGACGCGATCCGACGAGGAAGGCGAATATAAATTACAGGAAGAGAGAGAATTGTAATTTGGACAATTCGACGATGACGCAATCTCAACCTCGGTGTATTATCGGGAAGGTGATACATTAGAGATTTTTTGAGATCTCGATAACAAAAGAGTCTCATAACAAATTCTAACAGATTTTCAAAATCTTGAAAAAGAATTGAATAAGATTCGTGAAATAAGATGTTAAATATTCCATGAAATTTGTTGATGGATATAAATAAAGATCGAAAGAGATATAAAAGGAACGAGCGACAAACAATATTAGAAAAAAAAAAAAATATTACCTCGTTTGAAGATAATATACTTGCCGCTTGTAGATATTTACGAATACATAACCGTGAATGCAGAAGAGGAAGAGAACTCACGCCAACGTGAAAATTTTGGATGCAAATAAAAGCTCTTCTCTTGCCGGTACGAAAGAAAAAAAGAAGATACGCGTGCGAAAACACACGGAAGCGTCGGTGAAAAAAAAAAAAAAAAAAACAAATTTCACGAATTTTAGAACGATAGGAAGCAGGAGCATTGAACTTGTTACTTTAATTACGGTAAACGATTATAAACGTTGTTTTGATGAGTATTAACAGCACGAATTAACGGACGTAGAAAAAATCACGCTGACTCAGCGTGAGATCTTTTCTCAGCGATACTCAGAGATAACAAAAGCGCGCGATTAAAAAAATCAGGAAAGCATTTAGTTATCTCACGATCACACATGATCTCTCACAAGCTTTGTATGTTTGAATAAGATGAAAATTAGATTTTAAATAAGCTTGTAATTACAGATTGTAAGTTAGAGAAAAAAAACGCATTATTAAAATAGATATTAATGATCGAAATAGCTGTCTACCAAAGTTGCAGAATAGTATAAATAATTGAATTAATAATATTGCGAATGCGCTCTTACGTATAATTAGACTAATATGTACAGAATTTTATAAATAAATAAAAATTACTGTTTATACATAGTTTGTGATTTTTTTATTTCATATTAATGTTATAATTAACACAATGCACACAACCTCTGTTCGAATTGGGAATTAATATAGTCAATAGGAATTAATATAGTCATGGGAATTAATATAATCAAACACAAGAAGTATATAACATATATTTCTTCTTTTTCTCTCTTTTTACTTGCAAGGTAATTTTATTATATGTGTAGAGAGAGAGAGAGAGAGAGATTATATTAGATTTGACTGCTTTATTTATATTGCGCTCTGGGATGATCCCCTCAAGCGCATGAAATGACAAACAAAGCAATATAAAAATAATATAATAATAAAAATAAGTAGATAAAAAAAAAAATAATTATTATTATTGAGTAAACAATTAACAGAAGAAAAAAAAGAAAAACAATAGAAAGTAACATAATAATGTAACAAATAAAGCATAACAGATCACATTGACAAAAGAAAAATAAAAAATAAACATAAAAAGAGAAAGAAAAAAGAAAAACAAAGAAAAGGAGCGAGAGAATGTTGCTTTTTAAGAAAATATTCCAATGATATAAAGTTTAACCGTTTTTAAAACTGTTTTTATTTAAACATTATTTATTGAAACAATTTATTATTTCTGCTTGAATAATATTTTTTATATTACGCTAATTTTTCAACCTGACTATATATGTATATATGTATATATGTATATTTTATTTTTATATGAACGAGAGAAAGATGTAAAATCTCTTCAGATTTATCGTCCTGGAAATACCGGATATTTCAAATAGCTGCGATTGGGTTCTCTTCTGTCGTATTGTGTTCTATATCTTCCATGCATAAACTGATCTCTGTAAGGATACGGAAGTCGATATCTATCTTCGGCCGCGCCGAGATCACCTTCTTCCACATCCGAATTCCGTTGAAACAAATCGATACCACCGCTCTCGGTATCGTCGTCAGATACATCGTTGGAATTGTCCTCGATCAATGCGGAAGCGGCGGAATAATCCGCCGGATCGCTATTTTCAGCTTGGCGAGACAGACGAGCTGTTATTAAACCGGGATCTAGCAAGATGTCTTGTGACAACAAATCGACAGCTGGTTCTTCGTTATTCGAACGAGACGTATCGCTTTCTTGACCTTCGATTGTTTTCGAACGTTGCAAAACCTCGGGACCGCTGCTCGAGGAATCGACCAAAGTTTTGGATACATTCGAAGTTACGTTACTCGGTTTCGAAAGATCTGCATGACGATTCTCGATCTCTTTCGTGTAGACGTCGTCATTTCCCGAAGCTTGAATCGTTGCTGAGGAATCCGTTGTTGTAGATCTCGCGAAGATCACGAGAGAGCAGAGACTGAAGAAGATGCTGAAGAATTTCATTTCTCTTCATAAACTTTTCGCAAGCGAAGTAAAAAGGATCTAGTTCTCTTCCTAACTAAGAACTCAGGAAGTTGGAGCCAGGCTTTTATAGCTTGTTATTCTGCGGTCGTCGCTAAGCTGTTCGCTAAACATACCGAGTCTGGGTGATATTGTTGAGCGCGTGCTAACAATAAGTAAAATACACTTCTTTACACAAACGGTTAGATGCGACACTTTGAGATAAGTTTCGACGTATATGCTTGTATTTTTTTGGTTTTTAATCAATTTCAAAGATTTTTAAATATCGCATTTAAACTCGGTAAAAAATTTTTCATATATACTTATAGACAAATTAAAATAATTATATCTAATTATGCAAATTTATATGTGCCGATTATGTCCATACAATTTTATACACGGAGAATTTCTTTTTTTAAGATAATGGCTTCAGAGATATTCCATATCAAATTACAAAATAACTCTATTAGTATCATGTTAGATACAAAAAAATTGTATAAAACGATATTTTTACTATATTTTTAAAAAATTTTTGATATATAATCATATATACTTATACACAAATTAAACTTATTATATCTAATTATGCAAATTTATATACCGAATATGTCCATACAATTGTCTACATGGAAAATTTTTTACTGGGAAGAGATCAAAGAGAACGTATAAAATCTAAAACAAATTTTTTGCAACTGTTTTTTACTCAATTCTTTGTACGATGTGTATAAAAACAAAATTATCGCGTTCACACACAAATATATCGAACAAAATCGAAGAATATTATATTTAAGATTATAAATTGTCGAACGTTATTTACTTGTTGCCAAAAATATTCATTTATACGATCGACAATTAAAGATCGTTAGTACACAATGTTCGACGAAGTCGATTTATCGCACGGTTGATACTCACGCGTATTAGCAAGTTGACGATAATTCTTTCAGCACGTCGTATAAAGTCTGTACGATCCGTTATACCCTGACAGAGCTGGAAAATCCTTTACGAAGCAGTCTCGTTTGAAGCAATAAGAAGAACATTGCGCAGTTTCGAAAACGTCGCGATGAAAAGCAAATCGACGGTACGTTTTTACAATCGTCCGAAGAAATCAATTTTCACGTAGCAATTAACATAATGTGTATAAACAGTTAAAGAATAAACGTATATATCCGTTTAAACAATTAGTGTGAACAAGCGAGTCTTTTGTTTTTGGAAAAGTGACTCACATAAATTTGCGAGAATTAATATATGTGCGCGCGCAGTATGTAAAATAGTTTGTCACAAACTCTTACAAATTAATATATATTATTTATATCAAAAAATATTATTATTGAGTAAAATTCATATAAAAAAATCAAATTTTGAAAATGTTCTTTTTTATGTGTATTCCATAAGATTTATTGATTGTAATTGTTCAGCTTCGTCCGGGAGGCATTGCGATTTTGATGATCATCTTCCTGTTTGGAACGATAACGAATGCGAAGCCTATAGATTACGAAGACGTGGAAAATTTGTTGCCAACGGAACCTCAAACCACGAATGACACGTTGGCGGCTATTGTACAAGATCCGGTGGTGCAAGACGCTGTACAAAGCGCGGTCGGCAATGGATCTTTGCAGGGTTTGGTAGTGAAAAAAAAAGTCCTTATTATGCCTGCCACGGAACCGACTAAGGTTTGTGCACGTCTTCTTAAAGAATATTATTCGAGCGCATTATATCGTTGCTGGAAGAACAATATAACAATATATCATGTGTTTTTCAAGGTGGTGTCACAACGCGAGCAAGTTCTCGTTGTTCCCATGATGCATTTAGAAGACGTACGGAAGAATATAACAGAGACTGTAACCGCGGAAACCGACGTAGACGGCTTGACATTTACAAATACCCAGTCTTTCACTGAAAACGATGAAAATGGAAACACGGTAAAAAATACATTAAAATGTTTATGTTCAAAATATAAATATATCAAATTTCCTAACGATTTTGTTTTTATTTTTCTTCAAATAATGTTATTTTTTTAATTTGTCTAAAATCTTAAAATAATTTTAAAACAAAATTTAACAGAGAAATAATTTATGTTTATTTAGCATTGCAATTAGCAATGTGATGTCGATGCGATTCATAGCTCGTTATATTTAATGTTGCATTTTATATTTACGAATAAATTACAAAACTTTATTGATCGTAATATCGTGTAACGTATGATCTTGCAGGATGGCGCGGACAATCCATTTTACGTATCGCAACCCGTTAATTTTTACGAAGCTTTAACCAAGATTACAACACCTATGCGAAAACCGACAATTCCTATTGATACTACGCCGCAAGAAATCCCATATTTTATACCAAATCCGAGCTTGGAAATGGCGCTTACGGGTTACGAGCCACCCGCGATATCAATACCGATCGTCGCGTTCCTTGATCCATCAAAAATCTCGGACGATAAAATTGATGTGCCGATTACAGCAGCTTTACCGATACGAGATGACTTTTTGAAGAGCCAGTTAAATTATCTGAAGAACGGACGGGATGATGTTCAGCGTGAGGTTGAAAGTTACGCTGATAAAACTTCGTGGAACGTACAGCCGACTGTTAATCGACGACTGTTTTCTGCTCCTTCAGAGGTAAGACGGTTTTTCGCGATTCTAAAGACGTTTTCTTCACAGGATATGTTTTACTTTTTTTAGGGAGTGTAAAAGTCTCTCTTTCGAGGAATCGATCAATGGCAAATGGTAAACTGACAAAATAAAAATTAACTATAATATAGATGAGAGAGAAAGATTTAATTTAGTTAAAAATATTATTTATTTATTTTTATGCACATTTTATATATAAATCAAAAATTGTAAAAACACATTGAAAAATATATTTGTTTATCTAGATACAAGCATCATCTTCAACGTACGACCCGATTACAATAAAAAACCAGGACGTGAACAACATTCGATCTGAAATTTTGTCATCCCGTTTCGATGTCATAAGACCAATATTTTGGACCTCGGACGCGGACAGTAAATATCCCACACATCCGGACGACATGGATGTTGCTGCAGATATAGTCTTTAGACCACTCTTTAAATATCGACAGGAGGCGCAGCAAAGGTCTAACAGAAGATCGGCATATCGCAGATATAATTCGTATCCGAGACGAAGATACAATTACGGACAATATTCAAGCGATTATTACTAAACTTATACAAAGATGAAAATAAAAAAAAAATTAAAAGATTACAACCAAATATATACTACATGAATATACAAAATAATTTATATATCATAAGCAGAAAAATAAATAGATATAGTAATATGTTATATACATATAAGAGAGTATAATTTTAATTAAAAATAATTGTTATATTATGTTAATTAGTACACAAAAATATTGCATTAAAAACTAGTAACTGCATATTTAAATGCGTGTTTTCTTTAAAATATTTCTACAATGAATGATGCATGAAATACAATTAGACATTCATTATCTCTGTTATGATCACCTTTAAGTGATTCACAAGGTAGTTTCGCGTCACGGTCGAAGTTAAAGTTGACAGCCTCATCGGGGAATGTTATTTTTTAGTTTCAGCTACGTATCTTCCCCATACGATATATACACATGTATATGTATTTTTTTACTAAGAAGTAATCTAAATATGTTAAACAGTCGTGAATGTACCGCTAGAAGTGAAAACTTTTGGAATTAATTTAAAGTTTACTGGACCATATTTTTCGAGATATCTCTGACACATATGAAAAGATCTCTGTGTTTGTGCATCCGCAAGTGTACGTTCCAAGGCGAAATGTGAAAGGAATTTATTTATTTTTTTTTCGTTCACGTGGAAGATGTCCTAGAAATATATGTATATTCTCGAATGAGGGTTAATATCTTTTTTTTTTGTATAAAAAAGTAAACAAAACCAAAATATGTGACACTTTCGAAAGTGTAAAACGTACGCGTGTTAGAAATATTTTAATCTCGCTGCTGAGAAAGTGAAGTAAAAGTGTAAGGAAAATAGATAGATTTTGTTTTAGAATCTATCATAATAGAAAAAAATATATTATTAAAAAAAATCACATTTTTATAAACCAATATATATTGTAACTAATTTTTATAAAAAAATATCGCACATGCACAAAACTCACAAGTGTCTCTGTTCTGTTTACCATAAAACCTGTGTCACGTGTAAAGCCTGAAACTGACTTGTAACGGATATGCTTGTGTCAAGTATACACAACGATCATGTATTCATGATCATGCGTCAATATAAGTTCATGTTAGACGACAATAAAACATCAAACTTCAGTTTAAAAAACTAGCTCACTCTCATTAAAATCGTTCGACGAACGATCGTTAACCGGATATTCTTACCGGGAAATACGATCGCGGAAATGACTGTAACCCGTAGTAAACGTGTCATCGTTAAATGTCCTCGGCGAGAAACTATTTAGTCACTTGGTCTTCCATTTATTCATTCATACGCAAGATATAGCGACTGTTAAACTTTCCATGACGCTCTAAATTTCTACAGTTTCGGATTTGCGTGTGAGTGAGCTCTTCTCATACGAACACATCCCGACATCAATTACATTTCGAAACATAAACCATGAAACTTTACGCGAACATAGCGTAAACGCGGAATAAAACAATTCAATTTGATAACGTTTTTATGGTAAATTTATAGTAAATCGAAATACGCGAAATAAGAAATTAATAGATGAACTAATAGAATGTGTTTGTTAACTTGTTAAATAAATTTTACAATAAATGACGCACGTACAACATTATATTTATACGCAAAATATTATATTTAAAATTAGTAAAAAAATATGATAAAAATTAGTGTTTATTTATAATAAAACAAAAATGAATTATTTTTTATATGAGAAACACTGTAACAAATCATCGAGTGCACAAAGGCCGTGTCCGCTATGCTTGCTGAATTGTATATACGATGTGCGAACGTCCGTTTAGCGGTTCGTTAATAGACGTTTAACACCTGAAGAATTCACTGTCAAACTAACAAAGGCGGAAATGCGAATGACTCTTAGGTCACGTTAAGTTTGAAGCAATTTTGATATTTGTAATGCAAAAAAAAAAAAATAAAAAAATAAAAAAACAAACTTTCTAACATTAACAAATCAAATAAAGATTATAGATGATATGTTTTTATGATTGTTGCTCTGAGAAATAAAAGTTGTTTCTTTTATCGTGCGCGCGCACGCATATTAAATCCGACTGTGTCTCTACCGTCTTATATTAATTCATAAAAGGAGAAATAACCAAAACAACTTGTCTCACTTGTGTCTCGCTCTTCACCAAGGTCTTTCACCTATATTTATCACAAATTCCAAAAGAGACGCGGTGGCGATTTTACGGAGAGAGTCTCCGTTCAGTCATTCTCAGTTCGTTTACAAAAGTGACTCAGTGCAGTTCCGCGGTGGCGGGATCTTTACCGAGAAAACAAGACCGCGCTTGCTCTACAACGAATCTGCATATATCGCGAACTACCGCGTGTGAAGAGTATAATCGGCTGTTCTCTTCGAGATTGGCTTTACGGTATATAACCGATGCGCAGCCGATCTTTCTCTTCAAACGTCGCTTAAGAGTCCGTGAGTTTGGAAGTGAAGCTCGATTTTTGTGAAAGAAAGAGAAAATAGTGCACAATGAGATTGGAATTTATAGTAAGAATACGTCAAATGACATATTAATATGTGCAAATAATTTGTTTTTAGTTATAAAATCTAACAATAAAAATTCTGAATTTCTTTAGATTAAATGTGTTGTTGCGCGATCGAACATGTGGCGATTAAAAAAACGTTTTATTACAACCTTTACACATTAAAATATATTATTATATATAATACTTATTTTATTATTATTTTTTTTTCGTGAGTTTTACATTTTAATATTTTTGACCATCTGTGTCTGTGTGCATGTAAACTTGATGTTTACGCGACATTTTATTCGCTCCAGTGATTAACTTGATGAAAAGAATATAATGCTGTGTGAAACGTATATTATTATGAATTATTATTAAAGTGGAAATCGCAATCATCATCGCAATAACGTTGTATTAGTATTCGTTATTACAGACGCGAAACGAGAGAATTACATTACGAGCAGTTTTTCCAAAAAGATTGTAGAATCGATCATTTTATATTCCAATTAATAGCAAATGCTATTGGAGCGTGTAGCAAATGCGTAATCTTCCACATTTTTGCTAAGACTGATTAAAACTATCGCAGCAGGTCGCGGAAGATAACATTTATCTCACAACACACAGCAGAAATTACATCGACTTCGTGATTAAATCTAAAAAAACACTTTTATATTTAATATATATATATATATGTATATATATATATATATATATATATA